TTCATCGACCACTACACCGACCTCGGACTTGGGCCTGACAATGAATAAAGAGAAGGGTCAGACACATATCATACAGGAAAGACTTCTAGCACAAAATTTGGACCAAAACTATCACCCTGCCGACGCCTATGCTCTATATAACAAGCGAACAGGGAATGCGGACGATGAATTCATTGAACATTGCAATCAAAATATGGACTCGTTGCTTGTATTCGTAAGTAAAACTTTTATCTTCACATTCGAACGAGTTTCTGAGGCCAATACCGGCGTCTATGAACAACGCCCATCTTCACTCACCTTGGCAGTCTGGTTTATTCTCCGCTGTGACGGTCGCTTTGATAGTCGAAAGCTATAAGGGCTTGAGAGAAGATCCCCAAGGTCGCACAGAGCAGCTCCTAGAGGCACTCATTGGCAAAAATGGTAGCGCAGCCATCCCTCCCCAGTTTCGATCGTTCTCACCTCCAAGAATGATCGTTACTGCAAACATCTTACTCTTTTTAAGTCTCTCTTTTGCACTTTTTGCCGCACTCGGAGCTCTTCTTGTTAAAGAATGGGCTCGTCAAATATTCAAAGGGTTGGATGCACTTGGTTCTCCCCAGACTCGTGCTCGAGAGCATTTCCAGCGAGTTGAAAGGCTGAAAAGGGGTCGATTTCCACTCATAATTAGCTCGATTCCACTGATACTCCATCTTGCACTGTTCTTATTCTTCTCAGGTCTCGTATGCTGGCTTCACGGTGTGAACCCTGCCATCTACCTGACGATGATGACCGTTACAGTCTCCGGATTCGCTGCTTATCTTGGGCTTGCAGTGATCCCTGCCATCATTCAAGCACCAGTTCGCAGTCAAAGGCCTCATTCCTCTTATAAATGGCCTGGGTCGACGAGATTCACCCGGCTGTATCCTCAGTCCAAACCTTTGCTTCCAATTCAAGGAGAGGTACAATCACACCCCCTTCCGGCACATCTCAGACCCATCGTTTGCACACCGCTGACTCGAGTTGGAATCACAGTAGAGCAGCATTCCGAAATTCCCGACGAGTTGGACTATAAAATACTCATTCGTTTCATCGAAGAAGCAGACACCTTGGCGGAATGGGAAGCTGCGATTGACTCCTTGCGGGATGGCCTTGCGCTCGTTCCCTCAGAGTCAAAGTTGCCCATGGATAAAAATCAATTCACCGTCATCGTCCAAAAGGCTGCTTCTCTGGCTGCTAGTTGTCGCTCCTTCAGAGATGGACACTTTGACATTCACCCTGGGATCAGCCTGGAGCGGGTGACCATGATCATGCAATTCTTTGATCTAATACTACAGGTAGCACCAGAACAAACGAGGCGAAGTGGGGTGAATCTCGTGCTTCTGATGAATGTTGCTGACTTGCTCTTGGAACGTGCCATGCAAGTGCTCTCCTTGGAGGAGATAGCTTTGCATGCATCGGTTGTAGCACGATTAGGGTATCAACAAGGCGACTATACCATAGCAACGTGGCACTCGGTCATGGAGGAGCGGTGTCGAAAGAGTCTAGAATTAGCGGTCGACGTAAGCTCAAGATGTGGCTATAGAACTGTAAGAACTGCTATTGAACAGCAGAGAAGCTTAGTCGAGGAAGTGGCAAAGCAATGCGACCAGCCTTTGGGAGATAATATGGAGGAGCAGCTGATTTTTACTCAGGCGAATTTTGTTGGTGCTTTTGCTGCAGTCGACGAGTTGATTCGACTTATACGATCTGGTGCAGCTCATAGAGACGACTAATATATATGCTGTAGTGGTGGTTTGGTCTTGGGTCCAGTACTATGTAAATAATATACGAGATGTACTACTTGTCACCAACACCTAAATACGAGCGAGGGTTTAACATTTGGATTACGACAGTATGCTTAGTTTGCCTCTTTGGCACGGTGATACAGGATGTGCGTCTGAGTTGATCATTCGATGAGACCTAAAACGAGGACTTGTTTCAAGAAAGAGAGAACTCTACAAGAATATATCAACCATGGAGACCTAGAAGCTCAATGGGATTGTGAAGACTGGCACGGCCGCCGCAAGATTGACGGTTCATCGACCACTACACCGACCTCGGACTTGGGCCTGACAATGAATAAAGAGAAGGGTCAGACACATATCATACAGG